TTAACCTTATTGCATATATTTGTACGCATGGAATGCTGAGAACGTTGCAGAAGGGCACATAATGGCGCGAAGAAAAGCGCACAGTTGTGTTTACGGGTGAGAAGACTGTGGTAGATTCCGCAATGAAAAACGCAGTGACAATAAAGTTATTACGATACCAAAAAGCCGCACCAGTACTCGAAAATACTGATAATGCTGAAATGTTGCGTAATTATACTCTATCAAAAAGTGTTATCCCAACATCAACACTTGATTTTGAGATGGCTTGCATGGCTTAATTATTAGGTGAATTCTCAGGGATTTTCGTCACAGTGTTGATTTATTTTTGTGTTTGTTTACATTCCCTATGTGCGCGTTAGACCTTCTCGAATTTGGACCAGTGCGAGTCATCACAGCTATGGGTTCAAATATTAATTGTGCTTAGTTTTTGTAAAATTATACGTTGTAAATAAAAGGTGATCAATCAATCTAGAAATAAAGATAAGTATTGTATAACATTATCAATAGGGAGTGAAATCGTATAGAAAATATTTAACAAGTTATTAAAACTATAGTGTGTAACGGGAGTGTCTATGTCTTGCTGCTGCCAGCACTTCTGACGCCAGGCTTTGTGCTTGCTCCACAGAAGCAGACGGGATGAAAATCAAATCTCTCTTAACAATTTCTTGAATGTCGTAGCTTTGTGGCTTCTTGCATCACGATCAAGAGTGATCCGTCTAGTTACACAGGTGCCGCAGGGGCCAGGTGGGATATCGAGTTACACCAGGGATACAATCCTGGGCACGAACAACTCGCTTTAGGAGCGCCTAGTTTTGATTGAGCTGGTTATTGCAGAGCGAAACGCTGTCAAGCCCAAACATGCCAGTGATTTATTCTTGTGATTTCTTAAAGAAGATCATTGATATTATGCAGTTTGATGAGTGAACAATCAGCTTTATGTAAACGCTGTTTAATTATCACCTCGCCCGGTCCTTGTTTGTGTGCGCTTGACATTGTTAGGGACTGCATGCATCGGGATGTGTTTCAACCAAGATGACATAGACTGGGCTTTTGTGTGAATTCGGCAATGACCTGCACTTACGTGCCATAAAAGTTTTGTCTGAGGAGCGAGGAGAATGGAATCAATATACCAGTAAAGGTACGCTTGAGGGCCGAGGCGAAAAATTACCAAAAGCTTTATCTTCAAAAATGCCCAGGAGGGATGTTAGCGGTTGTAAACTGTAATTTTTCTCGAAATAAACAGTTTATTTTAGAGTGATGTTGGTTACTATGTTTGCGTGTGAAAGTGAGATGAAAGAAAGGCTGTTTTTGTAGGACCATGGGAAGACCGCACACTCTAGAACGCTTGGGATGTCGCGTACTGCACAAGAACGGCGGACTGTCACGTTATGTGCGTGCTAGCCCTCCTCTCTTTCTTTCGTTGCTCTTCTAACTCATTGAACTTCCCATCCATCCCGTATCGTGTGGTAGCGTGCGAGGTTATTCTTGACTGGCTAACGTGCCTGCATTTCCAACCACTCTCGGCCTTGCCTTCGCACGTAGGTTCGTGTGTCGGCTGTCAGCGGCCTCACACGCCATGTTGATATATTGAATGCGGTCGCCGATGCCTCTAATTGGATCTTGCGATCTCGTGCTCTGCAGCGGAACTGAACAACCTGCCAATCATTTTGTCAGGTGTGACATCCGTTCGACAGCTCGCGGCGAAAACGATCAATGTTCCTGCTAACGTTTTCCCCGGAAAACCTTTCCAGCAATGAACAGTGCAGCATTCAAATGAGTTTCATATTATACGGTGATCCATATATTTTTAGAAATTAGTTTAATAGTTGAACGCGCATGTGCGTTCAATCGCTCAGTCCTCGTAATAACGACAGCGTTACGCAGTCACAATACTCAAGTAAACGGCGAGTTCTGCCACTCCCATCCTACCGCTGTCAAAATGTCTACCATTAAAAATTTCAGTAAAAAAAAGAAAGAACTCCGATATATGTACATAACGCCCTGCTAAATAGGCCGCTGCACATTATAATGGTACGACCAAATGCATGCGCGTTTGTGCTTAATTAAAACCGATTAATTTACTAACGTCTAAAGCCACAAAGCTGGTCGAAATTTTCTACTAGAAAGTTGTAGCTCAGTTTGCAAAACTTCTGATCACGCAGTTTCTAATTTTTATCTATTAGCCGATCACAGTTTGACGGGAGACGAAATTCTAGAGCCCCCTGTACTGTGCCATGTCCGGTTAAAGAACACCAGATGGTCGAAATTTTCGGAGCGCCCCTACAGCGTTCCTCATAATCATATCGTGGTTTTGGGGCGTAAATCCCCAGGTATTATTATAACTGTCTGCTATGAAGTATCAGAGAGAGAGAGAAATAGTGAGGAAAGGCAGGGAGGCTAACCAAGCTTGGCTCGGTTTTTTTGCTTCTGCAGATAGCTGCGATATACAGGAGTGTGCTACGTGGCATGCCCACTTGCGGTCCGTCGTTGCAGTGCCCCTAACGTTCCGTGTACAAGCGATCTGACAGTGACTGATCCCCGTATTCTAGAACGTCCCTTCACTCAACGCTCCACCTTCACTTGAGAAAGCCGATGGGAGCGCCGTCTCTAGTCACGACAAGTCACCGCGTAAAACTGATAATCCGCTGCGATTCTTGAGTAGCGCAGCGCCATTTTCAGCCGAGCGGCGGCGCAGTGCACAACTCTGTACGCTCACACACCGTAGCAACTTTGACCCAAACATCCACTCGACCCTATGCAGAGTGTGTGGAGTGGAACAGGAGACAGTTGAGCACTTGGTGCTAAAATGCCAAAAACTCTCACCCTGCCCGCCAGAGGCCGCTACACTACCTCAGGCGCTGGCCTTGGCGGACAGGAATCCAAAAGCATGCTTCCACCACAAAGACAAGGCTCCAACAGTGGTGGAAGTGGTACCAAAAGAAAACTCCTCTTTGTGCTTCTGATTTGTTTGTTCTTTTCTTTATATACCTAGGCTGGAACACAACACATATGTGTTCACCCGTTACAAAGGGCAAACCCACAAATCATCATCATAATCATCAAGTGAAGGGGGAAAGTCGAGTTGAGGAGCGTTTGCGAATGCGGGAGTAACAGGTTAACAGGTAACATGGCGAGCAACAGGTTCGTCATCGCACGGACACCGATGTCGTCGCTTTCTCGTCCCCTTTTAGTGCCGCAGCACACGTGACCAAATGTGACGCCGTTTTGCAGGCGGAACGTTAGCAGGCACTACAATCACGTCGCACAAGCTGATTTATCAGGAAGTATTATTATTTTTTTGCATTTTTCAACTCTTTTAAGCAAGAGCCTAACAATTCACAAATAGAAATATAATAATAAAAACTCACGAGGTTCAACATCCCAAAACCACGATATGATTATGAGAGACGCTGCAGTGAAGGGCTCCGAAAATTTGGCCACCTGGGGTACTTTAAGGTGCGCCCAAATCTAAGCACACGGGCATCGAGTATTTTCGGCTCCACTGGAAATGCACCTGCCACGGCCGGGATTCGATTCCGCGACCTGCGGGTGGGCAGTCCAGCTGCATAACCGTTAGATCACCCCGACGGATCTTCATAAATAGAGAGTTAGGAGATGCCTATTGGATCATTTCGAAACCATTTAAGACCTTGTAATTAAAGGAAAACTGCCTAGCCCCTTCACTTTATAGCGGAAGTCTCAATACGTATATGAGCTGCACAGGCACGACTGGTAAAAAAAACAAACTGATTTGATCATGCATCTCGTGTGGTCACTACGCATTGAAGCATAATTGTAAGTGAAATATTCATGGGGTGAATGATGGGGCGAAGCATCCGTCCGTCCATTCGTTCTTGCTTCCGTCCGTCCATGCGTCCATCCGGCCGTCCGTGCGTGCGTCCTTCCATGCATCCGCCCCTGCGTCCGTCCATGCATCCATTTGTCCGTGCAGCCATCCGTGCGCCCGTCCATGCATCTGTCTGTGTGCCCGTTCATCCATCTATTCAACACTCCAAGTACCACCATCTCGCATCTTTTCATCATATATTTCTTATATAGAAGCACCGCCATCCAGCGAACATTCCAAGGACTAAACGAGAGGTGGCACATGCACACTTTCTTACGGCTTGCGCTTCGTGTCTACTTCCCATTTTTAACCTCCTTGTGTTCATGGTATATACTAGTTCATTATATTTATGGCACTGTGGCGCAATGCTCGCTAAACCTTTCTAAAACCAAGGCGGTTACGCCAAGCGAGTATAACCTAACAACTTTTTCTCGTCAGATAGTGCTTAATGTACATGCGAATGGCTGCTAAGGGGAATGAGAGACAGGAGAATTCGGCTTTTAGTTAACGCGCACGCTGCGAATTTTTTATTGCTCAAGAACGCACAAGAGAAATCTCCCACCGGCAACACCTTGTAGGTCAAAGCGTAAGACTGGTTACGCACTACGACAACGAAGAGGGACGAACGGGTGCTGCTTTAAAGAGCTTCACCCCTAAAAATACTCCAGAGTTGGCGTCCAGATTGTGGTCATCTTGACGAATTTTATCGAGAAGTTTTTGGAAGTCTAGCAATGTTGGCACCAAACCTTCTTGAAAGTGGCGTGTCTATGAGTATGGCGAAGGTTTCGTTTCAGATAGCAACGTTCGCTGGCAATTTTTGAAAGGTAAAATAAGTTGTTTTGAAGCAGCTATCAGGTGATGTTTGAAGCTCGCTCGGTTTAAGATGCATCCGGATGAAAAATATCGCGTATCACCCGTGCCAGAGTATGCACAACTACAGGTTTTCCCCGAAACAAACAGCAAATGTTTTGCCTGTTTATGACCTCGCTAGCTATCTGTTTCACTGAAGTTAGTTGCGCACCTACACGTCATCCGCAGTCTATGCTCATGCGCATGCGCCATCTCTCTCCCTATCCCCGCTCTCTCTCTCCACATAGCGGCTCACACATGCACGCGCACGTTAGTTAGGTCTGCACCATAAAGTCTGGTAACAAGTGCACCGCCTGCGATACGGTTGCTGTTACGTTTCCTGCGATAAACTTCTGCAGATGAGTTGTAGCGATGGAAGCGTACACACCGCTGCGAAGAAAAGTAAAAAAAAAAGCAGAACGAACTTTGTTCAGATGTTTGGACATTTCATTCAGCCGGAAATTCATACAGCCCCCCCCCCTAGCACACACACACATACTTTCATCGGTGTTATTTCCAGTGTACAGTGTATACTTTAACATGCACAAAAAATAATAAAAAAGACTGGTTTCAACAGCAACGTTACTGGCACAATGACAAAGCGACCACCGTTCGACTAGTTTTTCTTTTATTTTTCATTTCCACTGCTCGTACCCATCTAAGCTACGAACCAGTTAGCTTCGGCGAATCCCGTTTTGAAGAAAAAAAGAACAAAAAGACCTCGTGCTCGCTTGTTCGTGGTACGGTCGCTAAAATAAATTGACTCACTGCTGCTTCACGAGTTTGTTGTTCAGTTTATGTTCAGGATGATTCTACGTAGTTAGATTTTCGATTGTGGTAGAGTCATTTATAGCCATTGTCTCTCCACGATCACTGCTTTGATGGAACTACAGGCATCATAATTATCCCAGCGCTTGTATATACGCACTTTGCATGGACAGACCAAGTTGCAAGTACAAGTGCATGGCTTTTGAATAAATAAATGAACAGATTTTATTTGTTTATTTATTCTATTTTTATGGACATACAAGCGGGCCAGAGAAAAATCTAGTAAGGGTCAACACTGCCCACTATCCTGTTTGGCGAGTCGCAAATGAGGCGCCGCCTTGTCTTTCACTATCACGATACAAGAGCCATTGTGTAGGCGAAAATCTCTCTCACGGAATTCCGTTGTTGCTTGTACCCATGTTCCAATAATGTTTTATGACTCATGTATTCGCAGCTTATTTCAAATACTTGGCGTCTGTGTCGGCAACATACTCCACCACTACAGTGGAGCGCTTGTGTGGAGCTTGAGCCGGTGTAGTGACCGTGGTGGCGCTGCAGACGTTAGCGTCATTGCAAAGCCCTGAAGTTGACTTTCATGGAAAAAGATTCTTTCCGAGCACGCTTGACGAATAGGAGCGTGAGCGTTGTGCTATATATAGAGCTACTGCATACTGACAAATATGGCTGCGCTGTTTAAGAGTAGTTTAGTTAAGCAGGAGATCACAAGCACCTACGAGTGCTACGCTAGTGATGTGGTCAAAGTTCTCCCTGGTAGCACGTTGCGAAGCCGAAAAGCACTCGAATGGCGAGCATATGCTGCGCATTGCGCATGTGAGCCCTGCGTGAGAGACGATATGAAAGAACTTTGTTACATGTAGGTATCAACAGGGTGCGTTGGATTCTGCATATAGGAATCTGCCATCTGTGTGCCTTTTCTTTTTTAGCTCGTGATCTGAGATGGGGATTTCAAGCAATAACTGTAAGCAATCTGTCGGGCTACAGTGCAGTGTCCGCAGCATTGGCCCTGCCTCCAGACGGAAAGGTGGTGGCCCTGGACCTCTACGAGAACCTAGTAAACGTGGGCAGGCCTCACTGGAAGGAAGTACGTTCAATATTCGTTGTTGTTTTGGGTTGTTAGATGTTGTCCTGTGGACATATGCTCATCACCACGACGCTGCAGTATGAAAAGTTAAAACTGGCTCTGGTAATATGCGCTTGAATCAAATGTTTCACCTGCAGACCGAAAACTCAAAGATTGACTGAGTGCAGACGTCAAAGATTGATTGTGTGGCTCATCAAATCCTTTATACTGCGGTATATCAGTTATAGAGACTCTCGACGGGTTTTTGTCGTCGGTGTTGCCGTCATGCTCCGTGTAAAGCCCAAATGGGCAACATCATGCTACTTATCGTATGGTGTATCCACGAGTAAAATCTTCCAAGTGGTGGGAGCGACCGCGGCTGAAGCAGAGGTGAAACGAGCAGTCTCCGTCACAAGGAGGGCACAAGTAATAACACCCCACGTGTGAGGCGTGCAGTCGAATCGCTCCTTCGCCCGTCTTTCGTCGGGCGAAAGACCTTAAAGCGACAACGGGAGAGGTAGGGGGCTGCGTAACTCAGGCAGCAACTGCGAACTTTGACAGTAAGGGCATGATCGCTGGTGCACGCGCTATCTCGATAGACATCAACGAACGGCTTTGGTACGTGCTGCGCTCTCAACGCTTCGTGTTGAGACGGTAGACTGCATTAAAATCGCTTCTGTCGCTGGAGCAACCGTGTACCCTTATACGAGCGTGCTGTGTAGTTACGCAAGATTGAATCCAAAGGAATTAGTCTTATATAGTATAACGTGCGATTTGTTGATACCCGTCGTTCATGCTTCTTCCATGCGGCAAAAGTGTAGCCTAACCTTTTTATTGTATTATTTGTAAGGATCGCAGCCGCAGTAAATTATCGATTCTTATTTTTTTTTTTCGCTTCAGGCTGGCGTGGAGGACAAGATCGAGATGAGGTTTGGCCAAGCTGTTGAGTCCTTAGGTAAGTTTGCGGCGATGAAAACATTTGTCATACGCATTCAAATACAACGGGAGGGTATCTATTCCAGGACACCTATGGTAGCCTTTGCGAGAGCCCAGGCCCTGAGATTGAGGGCCCGACATCGCGAGATTCGCTTCTTACGGAGCTTACGTTGCGTGAAACTACAAGCGGGGCTTTAAAGGGGCCCTGCAACACTTTTTGAGCATGGTCAGAAAACTCTGCCGATCGGTAGTAGAGGATTCCGACAACACGCGAGCCAAATATTAAACCGCAGGACGCCCCCTAGAATTCACAATAATTGATCAGTCAGTTAAAAATTGGTTTCTATTCTCTCGACAAATCACGGAATATGCTCAAAAATTACATGTAGCAAGCCCATCTATCAGCCGTCGGCTGATTTGAACATGGCGCGCTTGCTCGTTACAGATATCACCACGAGAGGCCGCGACTTGTCCCGCTTGTGCGCGCGATCACACTGAAGAAAGCCGCGCATTCGAAGAAAAAAAGAAGAAAAGTGCTCAAGGTCCCGAGGCACGCGTGAAGTTTTTTTTTTTTTTTTTTGTGGCCCTGCCATCCCTTCCTGTTTAGCTTCCAGCGCCTTCGTCGGTACGAGAGAAGGGAGAATGCAATTGCAGCACGTGAAAGACCTTTGTAACTCTACTCGCACTGGACGGATTCTTAAAATTTTTGCGGTGTTGAAGTCATAAGGCAAGAAGCTCTTCCAGTGAATCGATTTCATGGGTACTTGAAAAAGTGTTTCAGGGCCCCTTTAAGACTGCCTTGTTCAGCCAGAATACCTTTGCACAGGGACGAAGAAAAAAGACACAATAACACCACTCTCGATTCTGGAGTCATAAACTGACCGACATAAGTAGACATCGGGCAATCGATTGATTGATTGAAATAACTTTATTGAGATTGATTGAAAATTAGCAAGTACTGAAAAAAAAGGGGGATCTGTAGCCGTAGCAAGAAAAGTCGAGCTAGTTTTTCAAATGCATTGTACGCGAAAGTAAAAACAAACTAGGATCACAGGCTGTCCAACTCACTCATGAGTCAATTCAAACTCACTGAGACTCGAATTGAGCTGTGAGTCTGAGTTGGAGTGAGTCCGGGGGTAGTATTATGGTGAGTTTGAGTCCGAGACAATGCGGTTGAAGAAAGGTATAGTAAGTCTGACTCCGAGTGAGTCTGGCTGAGTAAAATATTGGGGAGTGTGAGTCCAAGTGAGAAACATATTTCTTGAGTTAGTCTTAAGTGAGCTAGACCTTTGTTGACGGCCTATAGCCCCTGTCTACTCCCTTATTCGCATTATATCGGGTTGCGTTGCAATCAAGTTTCTTCACACATATCTTGACACACAGGCGTTCAGTGCCCCTTAGATGTTTGATTAATCTTGAGGGAGGTGTGCTAGTACCCCCACCCCCTCCACACACACACAATCTCTCACTGGGCATTCCGCATTCCATCGTTGATGGAAATATCTGGTGTGAGTCGCATATTTCATAGAAATGCCTTTACTAGATTTTCAACCCTAATAACTTGTTTTTGAAGCTACAATATCAAAAGACGTTTCATAGAGCACTGATTATGTCTATACAGTCGTTAAAGTTTACGCCACGATCGGAAAAAAGTAATTCAACTCAGTGGACTCACTAGTCGCTGCTGAAGACGACGCGGAAGAGATGGCGGACTTATGTGTGGGTTGTTGAAAAAAAATGAACGCCAATACAAATTCAAAGCCGTTTTTAAATGCGAAGCATTTCTTGGAGAACTTTGACGACTTTAAGCGTATCTATCTATCTATCCATCATCCATCATTCATCATCCATCCATCCATCCATCCATCCATCCATCCATCCATCCATCCATCCATCCATCCATCCATCCATCCATCCATCCATCCATCTATCTATCTATCTATCTATCTATCTATCTATCTATCTATCTATATCTATCTATCTATCTATCTATCTATCTACTATCTATCTACTATCTATCTATCTATCTATCTATCTATCTATCTATATCTATCTATCTATCTATCTATCTATCTATCTATCTATGCCCCGCCGCAGTGGTCTAGTGGCTAAGGTACTCGGCTGCTGACCCGCAGGTCGCGGGTTCGTATCCCGGCTGCGGCGGCTGCATTTCCGACGGAGGCGGAAATGTTGTAGGCCCGTGTGCTCAGATTTGGGTGCACGTTAAAGAACCCCAGGTGGTCAAATTTCCGGAGCCCTCCACTACGGCGTCTCTCATAATTATGGTGGTTTTGGGACGTTAAACCCCACAAATCAATCATTATCTATCTATCTATCTATCTATATCTATCTATCTATCTATCTATCTATCTATCTATCTATCTATCTATCTATCTATCTATATATCTATCTATCTATCTATCTATCTATATATCTGTCTGTCTGTCTGTCTGTCTGTCTGTCTGTCTGTCGGTCTGTCTGTCTGTCTGTCTGTTGTCTGTCTGTCTGTCTGTCTGCTGTCTGTCTGTCTATCTATCTATCTCTATCTATCTATCTATCTATATCTATCTATCTATCTATCTATCTATCTATCTATCTATCTATCTATCTATCTATATATCTATATATCTATCTATCTATCTATCTATCTATCTATCTATCTATTCTATGCCCCGACGCAGTGGTCTAGTGGCTAAGGTACTCGGCTGCTGACCCGCAGGTCGCGGGTTCGTATCCCGGCTGCGGCGGCTGCATTTCCGATGGAGGCGGAAAGAGGTGTTTGACACGCTCAGCAAAGTAGTAGCCAATCTTAGCGAGCAGATGGGTAGGCTACAATCAAGCGTGGCGGCACTGGAAGAGCATATGACTTTGCGCATTACAAAGCTCGAAGCAGATCTGCACAACACAGCAAGGCCTCATGCACCAAGCTCACCCCTTCGGCCACCAATACTAGTGGTACCAAACCTGTCGACAGGTGCAGCATCAGGCTCTGGCCGCCCATGTAATAACCATGATGGCAGCGCTACGTGAAGCATTTCGTATCTGGCAATGGAACTGTAGAGGTTACCTTAAAAAGAAGGCACCCTGCAGCAGTATATCAGGAGCAGCCAAGAAAAGCCTCATATTATATTATTACAAGAGACCCTTTCACCGCAAGCAACGTTGCCTGGATTCCGGCCTGTAATAGGGGATACTGAAGGGAGGGGAGTCTGCACCTTCGACAAACTAACGCACGTAACGACCTCAAGATAGAAGCAGGCCGGTTGGAACACGTCTTGGTAGAGATCGTGCCGGGTACCAGCAACCGTCAGAGCATTTTCATTCTAATATATACAGCACTCCAAAGGAACAAAAGCAAGGGTTCAAGACGGTTCTAAAGAAAGCTGTTAATATCGCCGGGGAATGTCCACTCGTCATAGCAGGTGATTTCAACGCCCCTCATCATACATGGGGTTACAAGTACAACACTGGGAAAGGAAATCGACTTTGGCAAAGTGCCAGTGAACTTGATCTCACCCTAATCACAGACCCCAGCCTACCAACAAGGCTTGGTACATCTTGCTGCAGGGATTCCACCCCGGACCTTACATTTGTAAGGAACATCAAGAAGGCCCAGTGGATGAACCTTGCTGTAGACCTAGGGAGTGACCACTGCATTCTTGCCACTACCTTCTCCGTGGAGCGTAAAAAGCAGAGAGAATTCACTTCACAGACTGGGATAAGTTCAGGAAGATAAGGATGGAAAGGGAACAAGATGGCCACAGACAAGGCTTGGAGCAGTGGGTCAAACAGATTAAAGGTGACATCAAATCTGTCTCCTCCACCATTACCACAGATTTTCGGTTGAAAGAATGGATAGCCGGCTCGCTCATCTTCTTGAGGCAAAGCAAGCACTACTGAACCGTTGGAAGGGTCAGCGCCTGAACCGAAGACTGAGGAAAGATAGCTGAGGTAAACAGATCAGTCGAGGAACATTGTCGCGCACTATCGAGGCAGCAATGGGACGAAATCTGCAACTCCGTCGATGGTCAGATGCGCAATGGCAAGACATGGAATATGTTAAAGCATCTCCTCAACGAAAACACCACCAAAACAAATCAAAAGCATGTTATCGCTCGAATTTTGCATAAAGAGATAGGGCGCACTACAGAACAGCAAGTTGTCCAGCAGCTCGTGCATAAGTACCTCCCAATCAAAAGAGGATTGGCACCACCAAGTAGACAGTACCAGGGCACGCCAAATCCAGGTCTTGAGGGCGACTTTCGAGGAGATCAGAAGAGCCTTGCATGATCTCAACGGCAGGTCGGCCCCTGGCCCGGACGGTATATCAAACAAGGCCCTGCGTAACCTTGATGACGATTCAATTGAAACCCTGAGGGATATGATCAATTCAGCATGGAAAGAAGGCAGGGTGCCAGAGCAGTGGAAGCTGGCCAGCACGTTATTCCTAAGCCAGGAAAGCCCCCTAACTTGGACCAACATGAGCCTATATCCCCTCCCAATCTCAACGAAGCAGCCACACGAGGCGGCGCGAGAAATCTCCAACGCGCCTCCGGGGATGCGTTTACCGGTGAGGGGATAACCGGGAAATTCTTACACATATAACGAGCTCACTAAACATTTCTACCTGTCTAGAAGGATTTTCCCTCCACCTCACAAAAATCTAACCCGGCCCAAGCACTTACATTAAGGCTTTTGCAAACGCGGATGTACCCTACTTTGAAAATGTTACATCATGTACCCTGACCTATACCCAAGTAATCTTGTCCACATTGGGGGAAATAGCTTCATTAGAACACATGCTCTGGCAGTGCACCAAATTCGTCATTTATCGCACATCACCTCTGACAGATGGGAGGCGGCAATCCGCAGCTCGTCCTTGGCAGATCAGCTCTGGGCTGTCCACCAAGCCCGCGAGGCGGCTGAGGAGCTTGGCATCTCAGTCCCCACGTGGGAGCTGCCCGCAACACCAGTGATCTTTGTTTTGGAGGACCAAAAAAAGTTTATCCAATCCAATCC